TACATTATAAAGAGTTCTACATTACAGATCACACTCTATTGAGAAAAGCTGATGCTCCTTAACAATTCTTAACACTAACTGGCAAATTGCACAGATTCAAGGGGTTTAAGCACCTTTTACACACAATCTTCTCCACAGGTAATAATCCTAAATGGTCCCTGAAACTCCATTTCCCCAAAGGAACCCTGAAGCCCTTCCTAAAGAAGGGCCTGAACTCAAGCCCGAATGTGTTCTGGGAGCATATCCATATGGTTACCTCAGTTCTTCAAAGTGGTACTAAGCCTATCCAAAAGAAATACACCGTGAACAGATGTGTTTTTATCTGATTTAATCTCCACACTGCAGCTTCCAGACTAGGGCCTCCAAATTCAGATTTGATTGAAGACAGCTGATCATTTAAATTGCTAACTTCTGCTGCAAAATATGAAAGAATGAATATTGGACTGCCCCAATCACAATTTGCAAAAATGGGAAATGCTGGACTCAGGGGCAGGACCAGGGCTTTTTGACACCTTCCATCATTTTCACTGCGAAAGAGAGGCTCTCCATCAGAATTAAAATTTGGGTCCAAGATTCTGAAGGATAGGAAAAGAAGAAAATGAAATGATGGGCAAGGTCAGTTTTTCTTTCTCACAAGCTGTGTTTATACCCATCCTATATCCAACAGCCATGCTGAAAAATCAAATATAAGCCTACTCCTCATTAGGTGGCTTACGGGGATGGGTCTGAGTGGGATGCTCCGAGGGTCGGTGGGACTTGTTGGGCCGAAGGGCCTGTTTCCATACTGTAAGGATTCTATGATCTATGAACTCAGCAATTGCCCACTTAATGTCTTCTCACCCAGTTTTAAGTACAAACTCAAGAATAAAGGACAGCTTGACAGCACTGAGTGATAGAACTGGAAAATGTTGTAGCTTGAAGGATTGAATAAGGAACTAGAGATCACAAGTGATCTATTGGGGCCAAACTGGTTAAGGTCATTAAAAACACTTTTCTTCCAGGAAATAAAAACATTAAAAGAACATGACCACAACACATTTTTTTAAAAATCCGAGTACTTTTTGTAAGTCTCTTCATTGTTAGAAGACAGTTCATTGCATGTCAGCTCAAATACACAATTTTCCCAGTTTGACTGTTTAAATCAAATCACAAGAATATTGGCTGAATCTTAACATATTTAGGCAGTGTCATTTTTGTTGAGTTTCATGGAGGATTTCTCTCCATGAGGTCTAGCAAAGTTTTCTTACCCTATCATCCCAAACTTGCCTCATTAGCCATCTACCTACCTCATGGCGCCTCTCTCATCCAACGCTAGCCCGATTCTACCACATGCTGTAGTGAAGAATTTGCCACTGCTGGGATATCCTAGAATAAGGTGGAATCCCTGATGCTGGTGCCATCTTTAAAAGGCTGTTTGGTACCTGGCCAAGCTCTGTCAGTACAAAGCCACGCTGCACAGTTTGTGACATCTACCCTGCACTTGGCAGTTAAGAACAAATTGGTACCTAGAGTGGTGTTGGGTGGAGGATGCCACTACCCCCAGGGCCAGCAGGCGAGTAGACCATTACACTAGACCCTGCCAGCCTGCTGTGATGTTGCCACCTGGGTCAGTCCAGTCTCAGCTGTCTGGAGGAATCTCCAGCAGCGTAGGAAGAAGGTCAATGACCTTTCCATTCTGCAGGGTAACTGGCTCCATCTTGTCCCTACTACTTCACACTCAATCTGTCTCTGCTACTGCACCAACCTCCCATTAAGGCTCATGCTCTGCCACTCTCAACTGTATACGACATCTTCCCTCACTCACTCTCATCCCGATCCCCTCAAGTTCTCCACACTGCTAACCCTGAACACCGCTGCTCTGCCTACTCACTCACTCGGGCCACCTCATCACCTTTCTCCTACTTGCACCAGCACTATTAGCTGTGCCAATCACTTTCAGTTCACTCAATCCCTCAGTTTAAAAAAATGCCTATAATAGGGCAGAAAGATCTACAACAGGTGACCCCTACATTGAGCTCATGATGCCCTATGAGGAGGGGGTTCTGAATCTGCCCACTCCAAGCAGCTGCTCGACTCCTGCCAAGTCCTAAGACTTGGTGGTGGGTAGCTTCAATGTTTACTGTATGGTGTTATTCAGGCCAAGGTCATGGGTTCAATTCCCCCTTCTAGCCAATGTAGCTGTCTTCTAACTGAGACTTTAATGCTTTGCATTTTGTTTATATCAGTTTTCACAGTGGAAGACAACAGTAGTATATAAGAATTTCAAGAGAGTCAAGGGGTAGAGGTGTGTGCTGTGGCCATCATTAAGGAGAAGGTGCTGGGAAAGTTGAAAAGTCCGAAGGTGGATAAATCACCTGGACCAGATGGGCTACACCCCAGAGTTCTGAAGTAGAGAGTTGAGGAGGTTGTGAAGTCTTTGGTTGTGATCTTTCAGGAAAGACTGGAGTCAGGGAGGGTACCAGAGCACTGGAAAATGGCTAAATGTAACACCATTGTCTAAAAAGGGACAGAGGCAGAAGACATGAAATTATAGGCCAGTTAGCCTGACCTCAGTCATAGAGTCATACAGCATGGAAACAGACCCTTAGGTCCAAACAGTCCATGCCAAACATAATCCCAAATTAAACTAGTTCCACCTGTCTGCTCCTGGCCCATATCCCTCCAAACCTTATCTATTTGTGTACTTATCCAAATGTCTTTTAAATGTAGAAACAGTGCCCATATTCCCACTTCCTTAGGAAGTTCATTCCACAAGTGAACCACCCTGTGTAAAAACAATTGCACCTCATGTCTTATTTAAATCTCTCTCCTCTCATCTTAAAAATGTGCCCCCTAGTCTTGAAATCACCCATCCTAAGGAATAAAAAACACTCCCATTAACCCTGCCTATATCCCTCATGATTTTATAAACCTCAATGAGGTCACCTCTCAACCTCCTATGCTCCAGTGAAAGAAGTCTCAGCCTATCCGACCTTTCTTTATAACTCAAACCTTCCATACCCGGCAACGTCCTGGTAAATATCTTCTGAACCCTCTCCAGTTCAACAATATCCTTCCTATAACTGGGTGACCAGAACTGGACACAGTACTCCAGAAGAGTCCAACCTCAAAATGACTTCCCATCTCCTATACTCAAAGGACTGAGCTATGAAGGCAAGCGTGCTAAACAGCTTTTTAACCACCCTGTCTATATGTGATGCAAACTTCAAAGAATTCTGTACCTGAACCCCTAAGTCCCTCTGTTCTACAACACTCACCATCCTGACTTGGAAATATATCGCCGTTCCTTCACTGTCGCTGGGTCAAAATCCTGGAATTCTCTCCCTAATAGCATTGTGGGTCAACCTACAGCAGGAGGACTGCAGCAGTTCAAGAAGGCAGCTCACCACCACCTTCTCAAGGGCAACTAGGGATGGGCAAGAAATGCTGGCCAGCCAGAAATGCCCACATCCCACAAATGAATAGAAAAAAAAACTAACAAAGGCCCTACCATTAATTGTCTCAGTCCTACCCTTATTTGTTGTACCAGAATGCAATACCTCACATTCATCCAGATTGAAATATATCTGCCATTTTTCAGCTTGTTGACACATTTGATCAAGATCCCTTTGTAAACTTAAAACCATTGGTAAGTTGTGAGATTCCACTATTAGGGATGAGGTTGCAGAGTACTTGGAAGTGCATGGTAAAATAGGGCTAAGTCAGCATGGCTTCTTTAAGGGCAGGTCATGCCTGACAAATCTGTTAGAATTCTTTGAGGAGGTAATGAGCAAATTAGACAAAAACAGAGCCAGTGAATGTGATCTATTTGGATTTCCAGTAGACTTTTGACAAGGTACCACACAAGAGGCTGCTAAATAAGAGCCCATGGTGTTAGGGGCAAGGTAGTGGCAAGGATAGAGGATTGGCTGACTGGCAAAAGGCAGAGAGTGGGGATATCGGAGTCTTTTTCGGGAATGGCAGCGAGTGACTAGTGGAGTACTGCAGAAGTCAGGACTGGAAACACAACTATTCATGTTATATAAATGATCTGGACATAGGGCCTGAGGATGTTGTTGCTAAGTTTGCAGATGACACAAAGATAAGAGAAGGGACAGGTAACGTCGAGGAAGCGTGGAGACTGCAGAAGGACTTGTACAGGCTAGGAGAGTGGGCAAAGAATTCCAGATGGAATTCAACGTGGGAAAGTGTGGGGTTATACACTTTGGTACGAAGAATAGAGGCACTGGTTATTTTTTAAATGGGGTAAGGCTTCAGAAATCTGAAACACAAAGGTACTTAGGAGTCCTAGCTCGGAATTCTCTTAAGCTTGATGCTGGTGCATTCCAAAGTGCAGTACTGAAGTGTAGAACCATTCTCTAAGTGGATGTGTCATTACGGTGTGGAATGGTTGGCGCGTGTTGCATGTCATGGGTCTGTGGATATGGCTGGTGTGCATTCACTGCCCTGGAGCATGCCCTGTGATGTTGGTGTCAGATGTTCGAGATACAGGCCCCAAAGAGCAAGTGGAGAACTGGAGTTGTCAAGTTCCTGCTCTGGCTTGCATATCAGGAATTCATTTCTCTAGGCAAGGAATGCCGCGCAACTCAGCAAAGTGAGCATAGGTCACAATGACCTTTAATCTAACTCTCTGCCTATGCAATAGAGCAGCTTAAAGATTTATATCTGGTCTTGTCTCACCAGTCTTTCAAAAACAAAGTGAATATGCTGAAGATACCCTATTCCAATCAGAAAGGGGAGCTGCTGCATTCTCCTGGCATATACCTTTGTGTGATTTGCCATCAGGAAATACACATACAAACCTGAACAGAAGAGGGTCTCACTTCTCTCTGGAGAGGCCAGTACAGCTGTGTCCATGAAAAGATCGATCATAATTTAAAATGGACCAGCTACATTTGCCAGGTAGCAAATTGCTTCCCCCTCAGAATTTCTAAAACGGATATTCTAGAAGCAAGTTAGCTGCCCATAATCTCAAATGATCACAGACAGTTAGATTTTCATTAGGTTGAAAACACTTGTGCGTTTATTACTAAGCTTCCTTGAGTGTAACAATATTGATCGCGTGAACACCAGAAATACGAGTTATCCAATTATATTTTGTAGCCCTTAGACAATATTGTTAAGAAATAATGCATCCTATAACTGTTGCAGAATTTGAGGAATACTATCCAGTCAAACTTGATGAGCAAAAGATTAATCAATTTTGAATGCAAAGTAACCCAAAAAAACCTAGTTAGTCAAGTTTTTCACCTCGCCTGCTAGTTAAATAACATGGTGTCATGTGGTTGTCCTATTCTCCCCGTAGCCAGTCACAGTTACACAGCTTAATAGAGGAAAGCTGGAAGATAGCAAGGAAAGGGATCATAACACATTATCGATCCAGCTACAAGATGTTGAAACCAATCTGTACTGGACAAAAAAGACCAAAGAACTGCAGATGCTGGAAATCAGAAAAAAAACAGAAAATAATCAGTTTGAAGAGTCACTGGATCCAAAATGTTAACTCTGCTTCCTCTCCACAGATACTGCCAGACCTGCTGAGTTTTTCTAGCGATTTCTGTTTTGATTCAATCCGCACTAGCTATCTTCAGTGATTGTTCGAATGCTTAAGAAGTCCCCTCGAAATACTTTTGTCACCTATATTTTCTTGGCTTTTCTGTTGGTTGAAAAGGTAAATGTGTCCAAACCTTTGAGGGGGCTGCTTCGCAACAAGCCAGAAAAACTGGGGTGAAGTACACCAAAGACTTTGTATTCCTTCAGCCATATTCCTTTTCTCAGTTTACGACACTCCTTGCAACAAGGCTGATGTTAGCAGTCTGAATATGGGGAGCTTTGGGTATGGTTTTGGCACTGCCAACTACCACAAATTTCTCAGTCATTCAAATCCTTGCAGAAGTTGAAGAATATTATCAGTAAACTCATTTCTGTGCTTTCCCATTCCAGTCAGTTGTATTGTTGGGAGGCTGGAATGTGGTGGACTGTAGGTGTTTGGACAATAAACTTCATTTAAAATAAGCCATGTGGCATCAGGATCAACTTCATTTAGGTGGTAAAAAACACTGGTTAAAGGAAAAAAGAGAGAAGTTACATACAAATCAACAACATGTATTTATATAGCACTTTTAATGCAATAAGCATGGAATTACTACATAGGGGTATTACAAAATAAAATATTATACAGATCTGCATAGGAGATATTCAGTCAGATATCCAAAAACTTGGTAAAAAAAAAATGCTAGGCTTTAAGAAGTGTCTTGAAGTAGGAAAGCTAGTTAGAGAGGCAAAGATTATATGGAGGCATTTCCAGAACTTCAGAATCAAATAGCTGAAGGCATGGTCACCAATGACAGAGCAATTACAATCAGAAATGCCCAAAACATTATTATTTGAGCTTTTGGAGTTAGAAAGGATTCCAAAGATACAGAGTGGCAAGGCCATGAGGATATGAAAACGAGGACTTACTGCGAGTTAAGATACTACATGATTTGAAGTTTTAAATAGGGTAAAATATAGGAAACCAGCCAGGAACACAGTGGTCTGAGTTTGGAGGTAACAAAGACCAGGGTTTCAGCAGCAGCTAAGCTGAAATAACTGCAAGATGGACAATATTGTGGGGGTGAAAAAATGCAGTCCTAGTGAAGGCACAAACGTGAGGACGTTAGTTCATCTCAGACTGGAAGAGAAATAGGAGTCAGTAACTAGGGAACAGATTTTGGAGCAGGACAGAAAATAATAGCTTCACTCTTCCCAATATTTAATTGGTAGAAACTTCACTTCATCCAGACTGGAAGCTGAATAAACAATTTAACAGTTTAACAACAGTGGAAGAGTTGAGAGAGGTGCGGTTAGATGGAACTGTGTACAAATGAAAAATAAGAGTGCCATCAGATGATGATGTTGCCGAGAAGGGCATTTGCTATTTCAAGTCTCTTTAATTCCAAATAAAATAGTTCTCAAACAAAATGTTTTTCTTTTCCATAATTTTAAAAATCATCAAGTCTCTTCCATCCTTTGGATTTCTGCTGAAGCCTCCTTCCTGGAAGCCATTCCATCAGTATTCTCATCACCTTGCGGCCAACTTAACACAGACAGAGAAGTTCTTTGGTTTGAATGTCTCAGCTATTTGGTCTTAATTAGTTGGTCTGTCAAGGCCCTGTTTCTACATCTAATTTTGATACAGGACGAAAGGTGATAATAATTTAAACAGAAAGTTCTCTAATAAGTGGTCATTTTACCTCATGTGCAATAATGCGTTCTCACACTTAGCCACACACATTGATTTACAGGCAGCAAGTGCACACCTAGCCTATCTCGATTCCTCTGTTTCATTAATATTAAGGCAATATATGCTCAATGGGATTGCCAGAATGGCTTGGTTACACTTTTTTCCCCAAAAGAGAGATGCAGTTTAAGTAAAGGATATTAAAATGATTGTAAGACAATGGGGAATCTCTCTCATTTTAAAAGCATAAATTTATCATATTAATCACTGATTTAAATGAGTTACCTGCAAGCTGCATCCTGGAGTTTCCATGGCTGCCTGCTGCTCAGGTATGGTAGGCAAGTGCTAGCGACCATATCCAGATCGGTTTCACCTGCATCAAGAAAAGTCGTCCTATTATCACCTCCACTGTGATTAGCCCATTTTTATCTGATTTTTCTTGCACTCACCAAGGTGAGGGGCTTTTATAAATCGAGGAAATTAACATTTTTAACGTTAGGCACTCAATTGTCAGTGTTAGGCAGTACCCAGGTCAAATGTAGCACAGTGGGATGGAAATTGAAGCCATTTTGACTTCAATTCAATAATGTTTCTTTGCTCTAAACTTCAAGTAATAACTTGCCATTTCTTACATCAGCAATCCTGTGACGACTCTGAGCAAGCCTGCTAACATGTTCCTATTTCAGACTCAAAACAAGCTAGATTGAGGCCATGTAAATTAATTCCATGGTTAAACTCTTAATTATTGATTCCTGCATAGAACAAACTACGTTTTCAAAGAAAAACAGCTATGTTTTCTGTTGCAAAATTAGATAAACCTAAAACTTGAAATAGTGCCCGAATACATGTGGTTGCATACAATGCACATAATAAATATCTGTTGCATTTCCAGCATTAACTTAAAGGTATAGATTCAGATATGAAGGAAGCCAGGGACCAGTTATAGTCTACTAATGGTTGGATTGCTTTAACTCCATTAGTGCATTGCTCCTGTTTCTGGGCTCAGTATTCTGGTGAATATCCTTCTAGGCTGAATACTACAACTGTACGATTTAGCAAGTTCAGCACCAATTTTACATCACCAGCCTGATACTTGCTGGATATATTAATCTCTCAATCTTTAATAATGACGTACTAGTTTTGTTTTATTCTAAAAGAAAGGATAATGAAATTGAAACAAAAGTTGAGAAATGGCCACCAAATATTGTGGTGTTTACAACCGTACAATCTGTTACTTCAGAGTCCAGGTAACAATTAGACTTCCAGGAGTACAGAAGGAATTTTGTGAATTTGTTCTATTTTTAGACAGTAAGAAGGGCTAATTTTTTCCTCCATTCCACTCCCATATTGCCAATGATTTTAAAAAGGGCATCTCAATATGGGAAAACAAACTCTCATGTAAACAAAACAAGCATCTATTGGAATAGAAACAGAAAGTGCTAAAAAAATTTCAGCAGATCTCCCAGCATCTTTGGAGCAAGAAAATTCCATCTTTAGATTCTTGCTGAAAATGCTACAGGGATCAAATGTGGTATGTATTGAGAAATAAGGCTCATCTTCTGAACTGACAGGAGTTAGTGTCCATTAGAATATGCTGGCCTTCAGGCAAAGCCTGTCAACTACACATTAATGTCTCTTCTGGAAATCATCAAAATACACGAAGGTCTGTAATTGTAGCAGCATAATTTGCCTTTGGTCGTTGATATATATCTGTGTCAAAGCATGAAAAGATAAGTCAAGTGCCACATAGCTGAATAAATTATTGACTTACTTTTACTAATAAAGGATTTTAGAAGAAAAATGCACAAATAGTTTAAAGCAGGAAAACTACAATTGAATTTAGAAAACGGAACTGAATTAGAACAGAAAACTGAAAAAAACTCCTAGCCCCAACGGAAAGGAAAATGTTATTCCTGATAAATATATTAGTTTCCATTCCTAATTTGTTGAAAGCAACATAAACGGTCCAGCTGGTGACACTGTTGATATGTGCTTACCAAGATCTAGTTTCTCACAGAGTTTTCCAAGGCCTTGAAGCTCAGCTAATTGTACTTTGTAGGAGAGTGTGTGGCTATAAATAGGCCCAGCCTTTGCACTGACAGGGGCTTGGCTGACTAAAGATTCGGTCACCTTTGGCAAAATGTTTTTCGAAACTCTGCTCCTCAGAAAATCACCACAGGTGTCTGCCAGCCTGCATAGCACCTGTAAAACAAAACAGAAACCCTTCAATGTCCTGTAGTTTTTTTCATTCAAGGTCAGGAAATAACCCATCAAATTCTGATATCCTGAAATATTTGCAAACATTTCATAAGAAAGTCAGGATAAAACAAATCCCTCTTGCCTTATTTTAATGTAAAACATGTGAGATGCATAAATTCACCAAAGATACTGGATAGGAAACATCACGTTACCTGGAATGCCCTGAGAACCACGAGGGGATCATCATTGGTCAATCTCTGCACAAAAGGACTCCACACCCGGTGTACCATTGGGAGTAGTTCATTTACATTATTCTGGAGAACAACCACACACTGTTCCAAAACATCCAATACCTGTAAGGAAAGAAATATTGCATTACTGAAGAATCATAGTAAGTGTACATATTTAAAAGGACCTCAGAATAAACTTTTCACATTCATGGTAATTCAGAAAACAAGAGTTTAGTATTAAAAGTATTTTGTTACTAAGGTAGTTCATTTTGTTTTACTCAGTTACTTCCATTATGTAATATTTGAATCTATAGGGTTTGTTGGTTTGACTGTTTGGTCATTATAATGCAGAAGATTACTTGAGCCTGCAAGTTAATGCCAGCTGTCTGTGGAGCAATCCAGTCAGTACTACTCAGTAAGGTATCCAGCAAGTATCAGGCTGGTGACGTAATATCTGAACTTGCTAAATCGTACAGTTGTAATAGTCAGTCGAGAAGGATATTAGCCAGAACACCGAGCCCAGAAACAGGAGCAATACACTAATGGAGTTAAAGCAATCTAATCATTAGTAGCCAGTTATTGGGAATAGCCTTTAAGTCTGTAACTTATTTAAACTTGCCGTAATCCTAAGTACACTATTAAATCTCCTTGGCTCTACAGAGAACACCACCACCTAACCTTGCAAGTGAAATCTTTCATCATTTTAGTGGAACTTCATCTGCATCCTCTCAAAGACCTGTATGTTCTTTCCTAAATGTACCAACCAGAACTGAATGCAATTTTCCACTTCTGGCTTAATCAAAATTTTCTGAAGGTTCAGTTACTTGATTCTGTTTATGAAGTCCGAGGTCCCCGGTGCTTTGCCAATTCCTCTGTCAATGACCTGGACTTTTGCAGAGTCAGATGGAATCCAGAGCCATAAAAATCATAGGTGGGATCAGATTCCACAGCATCCAGCGCCACTAATAATATAAGAAAAAGGTGCAGGAAGAGAGACCGCACCTACCTTCCCCAACTCATCCAGCTCCATGCAGTGGTAGGCATCTCCTACTAACTTTTGCAGTGTTCAGCCAGCTTCTCCATAATTTTAGAGGAGTTGTAAATAGTTTGAATTAGGGAACATTTTCAAAGGCAAGATCAAAAGGTGTTCCCTGTGCCTCTTCCATGCCAAATCATTTCCTTGCCCAGTGCCCTGAATGGCCAGACAGCCAAGGCTTTTTCAAAGGGATTATGTGAGTTTGTTTATGCAGGTCCAAAGAACTGTTATGTTTACTTGATTGACAGCTCTATGAACTCTATTTTTCTGATTACCTTTTGTCAGTGTCTCAATGTTTTTGAGCACATGTTTAAGAGGTGTCAAATGCTTAAAGTTTTGGTTATAGATGCCCTGATGGCATTTCACATTGACATGTATATGGTTTAGAGATCTATATGATGGAGAGAAACAGCTTTTGTACTATGGGCATGTGGGAAGGAAGAGGATGAGCTATTTTCTTGTGGGTGCCCCTGATTGGCGAGGGTCATCCACCAGTGCTAGCAGTCCCCTAACCTTACCACTGTTTTAAACAGTTTGAATAAAAAGAAACAAATTTCCCTTTTCCACCCACTAGCCATGCAAATCCTCTTGCGGTTCTGAAGAAATATCAAAACGTTAACTCTACTTTCTTGTTTGCTTGGAATAGCCTGAGGAAGCAGGAAGTGGGACTAATGGACAAATAACACGAGGAGAGATCATGAGAGGAGAGAAGAAGGACACCAGAGAAAGGCCTAAGCTTACACCTAAGGCACTGGTTGGGATCATTAGGAGACGTTTGGTCCAGTGAGCTAGGAGAAGGGAGAGAAGAAGCAAGGTTTTGATTCTTGCCAACAAAATGCCTTTGAGCTCTGTGCACATTGTTAAAGACTCAGGTAAAGGCAGCACAAGAAAGGTGTCTAAATCAAAAGCTTGTGCTGAAGAGCAGCTGGGAGTTATCTTTGTATTCCAGAATTATTTTGGAATAATGAACAGTTCTAAGAATGGACAGCAATATCTGTTAATGATTTATGTGATTCAACCAGATTTGGTAATACACGATTAAACTAATTTTGTCATCGGCATTCGAACTTGTATCCCCTGTTCTTAAGGGACTGGAAATGAGTAACATATTGAGGGAACAACTAGGGTCAGACAGCAGTGGTTTTAATGTTTAATTTAAATATATATTTTCAAACATATGGCCTGGTCATAATGATCAAAATGGAGAAGGGCTATAGATTGAAAACTGAAATTATTAAAATAAATTAGAGGGACCATCCATCACAGAGACTCCTTAAAAATTAACAGATCTATGTAAGACAATGCGGTTCTTTACTTGGGCTGCACAGTCTCAGGGCTAACTTGTCCCAGTCTTTTTACAAGAAACAGACTAGACAGCATGGAAGGTTGGGAACACTCACACCGGCTCTTCATTCCCACCCCTAACAATTTTCTTTTGAAGCATCAGATTGAGCAAGTTATTACAACTCTATTTTAGAACTAACTCAATAAAATAGAGTTTCACTCCATTCTAATCCAATCTTTCATTGATGATAACTATGCAGATTAGAAGTCTCTAAATAGCAAATTACAGAGTGTTTATTATGGTGAGATTCTTAGGCCATAAAGTGCAACATGTTAGAAAACTAATAGTACTAATTTGCTTGTTCTCAAAACTGTCGTTTTAACTCACTAATGCCATCTCGGCTAAGATTGGAAGTCATTTTGCATGACTAACAGAAATTCAGAAATTAAATAAAAGAAACATTAAAGTTAATAGAACCATTCTGAGGGAATAAACAACAACTTTCGTTTAAACACTTGAACACTTAATTTGGACTACGTTTTAAAGTAATATCTAAATCAGGTCTCAATCAATACCATTCGCCCTGACGTAATTTTGTGAGTAAACTGCCTCTCCACTTCTAGCCTTAGTTTCACAAGAGAAAACTGAGAATTAAAAAACACCTACCAAATCCTTGAACATTTTAAAATCAAACATCAAGACAGAGAATAATACAAGACCTTTAGCCGTAATTTAATGCTTTTGTCTGACAGAAGGTGAATGCACCTCTCCATCACATCTTTAGCAATTTGGATATGAGCAGGGAGGTCCTTTTTCACATCAGGGTGGTCAGAGCTAATGTCAGGTTCCAGTTGATCAGGGATTTCACATTCTAAAACAGAACATAAATGTACATTAAGAAATTCAAATTTCACCTACAATGTTTAAAATCAAAACTGCCAACCACAAGGATGGATGGTTGAATAACAGATTCAACATTTGAAACAGTGATAGGATCAAGTTAGTAGGTGCTGATCTTTCACATTCACAGATAAATCAGACCAAAAATAAAAAGGTTACTGCTCTGACATCAGACATCCCAGCTCCCTAGTTACTTAGAAGTATCGTGGAATTCATATTAGCGATGAATGGTCTTGTTTGTGTAATGACAACCAAAACCATAGAAAACTAGAAGTTGCTGGGCTGGAAAAGGTTACAGATAGAGGGGCAGAGAAACTTGAAACAAGACGGAGAATTTTTAAAAATCAGCTATTGGTGGATCTAGAGCCAAAATGGGACTTAAAATGCAGGGCTGCTGGACGAATGGAAGTTTACCTGACTGAGGACACGTGCAGAAAAATTTTGGACAATCTCAGATTTACAGAGAGTGCAAGGTGGGATGCCAGCTAGAAGAGAACTGGAATAGCTAAGATTAGAATTAATAAAAGCATGGATGAGGGTTTTAGTAACATAAAGTTACATCGGCACATAGGCTAGGAAGCGTTACAGGTTGAACTGGAATATCTTGTTAATTGACAGGGTCTCAGTTAGCTTAGTTCTGGGTAAAGGAGCACGCCAAGATTTAAACAATGTGGTTTCTCACCAGATAGTAGTTATGACGAGGGAAGGAGTCAATAGCTAAGGAATAGAGTTTGTGGTTAAGTCTGAAGACAGTGAATCTAATATTCCCAATATTTAATTGAAAGAAATTTCTGTAATAAGTTAGGCCAGTTGATTGCCCAACTGCAATGCAAACAAATTTGTGAAGTAATTTTAGCCTAACCTATTCAGTGGAAAACTAAGAAGATTGAATTGCCTGTGCATTTTGCACCCATCTATCCTTACTTTATTGACTTTAATGGAGAGTAAAAGTGGGGCACTGCAAAATGAATCAGTGCTCTGATCTAGGCAGTTTTCTGCTGGATAAGCCAGGCTGTCCTTCAAGCAGAGAAAGCCATAAGGGGGTTTGAAAGAGGTGCTTAAAATCATGAAAGATTTAGATTAAGTAAAAATAAACTGTTTCCAGTGGCTGAAGGGT